AAGCCCGCGGCTTAACACAGCAAAAGAGAAACTCCCATTCACAAAATTCAAATCACAAATAATACTACTGATGATAAAGAACGGGTTGAATGTTAACCACTTTCGTTTCCATATAACTATAATCTATGATAAAAGTTCATCATCATGCATTGAATAATCCCATGTAGCAGAGCAAAAAAAAACATTGCGACCAAATCATGTGCTCCTGTGACCAGCTGAGAAAGTTAGTTGCAAAAGAGCGAGCAGTGGGAAGAATGAGTCTGGAGCCCTGTATAGGCTATACAGTGCATGAAAAGCAAACTGGTGCTCTTCTGTTTCTTTTGGTGTATGACTCCCCCTTGTCTCGTATAAAAAGCACAATAATCGCGGTTGTCTGAAACAACCGCGGTTAGATCAAATAATCGCGATTAGACGGTTATTTAATTATCGCGACAGGCCTAGTTGTGATCATAAACTGTATGGATGTGATTACACGCAATACACGGAGCTTTTCCCTCACCATTGTAACGCGCTGCTTTTGCAAGGTTCCGTGAAAACATTTCAGATTTTATTTTCCTTTTTCGCCCTGAAGAAGATATCACAGGTTCATCAAGTTCGTCGAAATTATCCATCCTCGATCACTTTTAGTCAGCTAGCTTTGACGAAACTACTCTCAGCTAGCACGTCTTTTCAAAGTGAAAGTAGCCTTGTCACCTGACCTGAATACAGCGCGCTGATTCGCTAAAATGGACTTATCGGCTTCTGTTCAAAAACAACAAGGGCGCTTGTCAGCTTCTGCAGTAAAACGTGAACTCACGATGCCTTGTGGACAAAACCGGCTTTTTTGACAAAACGTGTTTAGGGTTCAGATCGCACTATATGTGGAGAATAATGCACGGCAATCAGCTCTTTTTTTTTTAAAGTGGCGTTTATCGTTTTTTGCAAATGAACTCTTCATATATACACATATCTGTATACAGTATATATATGAATACATATGTGGCTCATCCAATCATATTTCTAATATTTGTAATAATACTTATAATATTTTTCTTAGGCCTCTATGTATATATAGAGAAACAGGCCTGTCTATTTGATGATTAACGTTCTGTGAGCTTCTCTGTTCAGTATTTTGCAGGGAGACATTGAGTTTTCTATTGAGTTCATTCTGCAGCCTTGCTAGGGGGTATTTTCACTGCGCTTCTCCCCCCGTCATTCCCATCACCATGACATTACCAAAGTTTCTAGACCTCTGGAGTATTAATTGCCCCCCACTTTTCCACCCACCCGACTCCTTTCATCTTCTCTGCTGTTTGCGTCAGTATCCGTACTAGTTATTATCCTCACCACATAGCCCTGCTCGTGCTCCTTTGTTCCTCTGATATTCCTTCTCTCTTCATTCATTTCTCTACCTCGATTGGTCACATTCCACATGCTCTTATATAGGTGCAGATAAGTGGACACACATCTCTTTGTGTAAGCTCTGTCCTGGTCATTCATTAGAATTCGTTTGGTGGCATATTTCCGACCGGCTACTCAGTGTACGAGGCTCTGGTAATGACAGAAAGTGCAAACTGCTTGTGAAATTTGTTAATTTGTTAAAAAAATGCTCATTTGCATTTGTTTTAAAATGATGCACTGTGGTCTACTGGGCTTCTGCATTCACTCAATGTCATTAGTGCTGCCTTCAAACTGAGATGTTGGGACATCAAAGTTTCTTGATTGTTTGGGAAAGATAAATTAGATGTGTGATAAATCAGGTTTTACCGGTCTTGTCTGTTAATCAGTATCTGACACTCAAGGTTAAGGGGGCGTTTGATGAACTGTTTGAAATCAAATGCAAAGATCACTACTAGTCAATACTGGCCAAACTCATCTGATCAAAGAGCTGTTCTCCAGTTTTACATGCTGTAGTAATTGTCCATTTGATTATGAAACATATTCAATATTAGATTATATATGCAAATGAGTATATATTGCACTAAAATGAGTGGTTTACAAACCTAAATGAAAGAATTAAACTTTACTGATCCCCAATTATTTAAATTTACATTATTTATTTAGCCACCCATTATAGAATTGTAACATCTAATCATTTATTATTATTGTTGTTGTTGTTATTATTATTATTATTATTTATTTTTTCTTAATGTTTTCTCACTTTTTTGTCACTAACATGAAATAATAATAATAATAATAGTAATTATTATTATTATTATTATTATTAAAGCATTAAGGTTAATTAAATTTACTTTATGTTGACATTAATTTGGGGATCTTTGTGTTACACTGAAAACTGTGAGTTTAATTATTTATTCTTTGTTCACAGCCCTAATATCATAATAATATTGATATTTATAAGTATTTAAATTATTTACATTATTTAACCACCCATTATAAAAATTATGCAGCATCTAATCTTTTATTATAATTTTTTTTTTTTTTACTTAATGTCATCTCACATTTTTGTGGCTAACATTAAATAATAATAAAAACGTTGACATTAACTTGGGGATTTTATGTGTTAATGTGTTAGTTTAATCTTTATTAATGATCCTAACATTATAATAATATATTATATATATTATTATATAATTGAATATATAAATATATTTGTAAATTTATTGTTCTACATTAGGTCTCAAATATTGTGATATTTGTTTTTGAACAGCGACAACACAAGTTTTAATGTTAATTTAAGATTTAAGACTGCAAGTCCAAAGTCATTTGAAGCTATTCAGCTACATTTGCATTATTTTTTTGTAATATCTGAATAGACTAGACTAGACTAGAATGCTTATAGAGCATCTAATGTGAATTAACTTGAACTAGTACCCCATTATGGATGTTTCACCCATGAATTATACCTCAAATCATACCATGCTGTGCTAGTAAATCTATGAAAGTTCCCATAGATTTACATTGAGGGAGGAGGCACATCTTTGGATCATCGAGACTTTGAATGAGCTCATTTGACTTGGACCAGTCAATAGCCACCCTAGCAACCTCATAGCAACCAAACAGACTTTAGCAACCACCTGGCAATACCTTAGCTGTTATATTAACTCTCAACCGGTGTTAAAGACAGATGTCACACTGAGGTTTAGGATGTGTGTGAATATTTCGTATTGAGGTACAGAGCTGTGGTGGCCTCAAATGAACCGTGCTGAGTCAAGTGATCAAATCTGAAAATGCAGATCGATGAATGAACGTGAATGCCTCTCTCTTCTCCCAGTCACCATGTTCATCATTCAAAGGAAATGGTAGTTTTTGGCCTATGCTGACAGGCAAAGTGATGCCTCTGAACTCTCATTTGTTTGATAGATCGTTCGGCATCAGGAAAGCTGATCTGCATATAAAGTTTATCTTTCTGTGGTGTTCACTGTTCGGGTGCAATCTCTAGCCTGACCTTTTCTACACGGGTTCCTTCATTTTTTTATGCCTGCAAGAGTGAAGTGTCACTACGGCTATTAAGTAAAAAAAAAAAAAATTTTCTTCAGGGGTAAAACTTGGAATTTGTTGATTTTGGAAACTTTGATTCATACTTCAGACAGTCTGTGTGGTCCAAATTGTTTTCCTCCTCACATATTTTTTGGATGACACTGTGAACAGCAAAAATCACACTGAATCTTTGTCAGTTTTAATTTTGGCCACTTCGGTATATGGCAATATATCATATTTTTTCTAATATCTGAATAGATGAGACTAGACTAGAAGGTTTAGAGCAGGGGTGGCGAACTCCGGTCCTGGAGAGCCGCAGCCCTGTAGAGTTCAGCTCCAACCCTAATTAAAACTCACCTGCCTGTAGCTTCCTAGTAACCCTTCAGACCTTGATTAGCTTGTTCAGGTGTGTTTAATTAAGGTTGAAGCAAAACTCTGCAGGGCTGCGGCTCTCCAGGACCGACGTTCGCCACCCCTGGTTTAGAGCATAATCTTATGTGAATTAACTTGAACTAGTCCCCCATTATCTGCGCTTCAGCCATGGATTATACCTTAAATCATGTAACGCTGTTTATTTGTTGAAACTTTCAAAAAATTACACTGAATCTGACATTGTCTGTTCCAGTTGGCCACTTCAGTTTATGGAAATAAATTGTTAATAAATCAGATGTTATGCAATTTTTACATGTAACTCAGATTATTAAAATTGCATGCTCGATTTTACCTTTAAATCACAAAATAATTTAGCATTTGCACGGTATAAAGTATTACACAGAAAGGTCCAATTAATATGGACTGTTTAACATATTTTGCAATTAATGCAGCATAATTTTTTATTTTCTTAATGTGTTTCTCACTTTTTTGTGGCTAACCTTTAATTAATCATTTATATAACAAAAACAACAATGATAATAATAGTAATAATAATAATTTAAAATAATAATAATAATTATTATTATTATTATTATTATCACCACACATTTGATTTATAATGTGCTTTTCTTATACCCAAAGCACTGCAAACAGTAAATGCATGTAAAAATACGAAAATTACAGAAATCAATATAAGAAAAATTAAGAAATCAAACTTATCATCAAGATAAGCTATTTTAAAAAGATGGGTTTGTAACAGTTTCTTAAATTCTGATTATTTCTAATTATTATATTATTATTATTATGTTAGCAATTAAATAATTATATTATTTTATGTTGAGTCATTCATTTGGGGATTGTGAAAACTGAGTTTAATTATTAATTAAAATTATTATTTTATTCACAGACCTAATATCATAATAATATTTGTATTTATAAATGTATTATTCTACACTAGATTTCAGGTATTGTGATACTTGCTTTTGAACAGTGACAAGGTTTAATCTGTAAATTTAAGACTTGACATCCAAAGTATGTAGCCTTTAAAACTATTTAGGTACATTAGCATTATTTTCCTAATATCTGAATAGAATAGAATAGAATGCTTATAGAGCATAGTGTTATATGAATTAATGAGATTGTGTTTGTGTGTTTTTCTGTCTGTTTTGCAGGCTAGCGCTCTACGTGTACGAGTACTTGTTACATGTAGGAGCCCAGAAGTCGGCACAGACCTTCCTGTCAGAGGTGAGCCAGTCAGGGTTTTATTTAAGCTCCTGCTTATCGATGTGCCATCCAGGCACACGGCCTCGTAAGCATCGGCCCGCACCCCTGGGGCTCTGGCTAATTTAATTACACGCAGATGATATGCTGAGCAAGCAGGACACATTTGATGTTTGGTGTCCACTTAATGAGATTGGAGGAGAGTCAGTGCATCGCTGTAAAAACAACTAAATAGTTTCAGCAGAAATGCTGGAGCGGTGCTGGCATGGGGATCATCACCTCATTCCACTTTTTATGAAGAAAAGCGCATCTTTGCTTTGTTATATCAGCTGCTCACAATCCTGTGTTTTATTTGCCATGTAGTGCTTTTAAGGAAGATCACAATCATTTATGCCTGAATGAGTTCCTTTCAGTGTTACTGAGGCATTGTGGGATTGATCTATGTGAAGGAAACTATGACATTTTGAAGCACCGCTTCAATATTTATAGTATCACCATTATTTGCATATGAGTCATACACACTCAAGAGTACAAGCCATCTGAGAAAACGCAATAATACACATTAAGTGCACCATTTCTGATTGTCATTCTAATTCTAAAGCTCTGCCAATCACAAGAAATGACAGGCACTTCAAGTCGCCCGATATATTCAGATTTGCAAGGTTAAGTTGTCCAAATGTCTCAGACTAGACTATTTTAAGTGAGCTACTTTGTATCTAAGAAGAGAGAAGTGTGTTTAAAACACAAAACAAAACAGCAGGTTTGGTCCAGTTTAAATGTACTACAAATAATGTAAAATATACACTTAAACTAGTTTAGTACTAGTGGATGAATGTGGTTGAAATTAATATTTTTATTCAGAAAGGAAACATTGAATTGATTCAAAGTGACAGTAGATTTCAAATAAATGCTGTTCTGAATTAGAAAAATATTTCACAATATTACTGTTTTTATTGTGTTTTTGATCAAATAAATGCAGCCTTGGTCAGCATAAGAGACTTCTTGACCCCGACTTCTGAACAAAAATCCTATTTAAACCTGGAAATGAATGAGTTTTGGGATTTTGAAAGATCTCAAACCACGAAAAGTTATGACACAAAAATAAGAATAAATAGTTAAGATACTGGACTATTTCTAGGTTACTAATTAAGTAGGCACAAATTTATTAATCAATTATTTTATTTTTATTTATTTGTTTGTTCTTTATTTTTTTATTTTTTTTTATAAACATTTTTTTTAATTCAAATTATTATAGCTGATAATATAATTTGTATTAAATTTGACCTGAGGTGGTATTACTTTAGACTCCGCTTTGTTGCTGAAATTAAACAGATTTTACAAATCATACGTATTTACTCAAAAATTACACTTGAAAACAGTTATGCATCATCAATTAACAAAGATGTCTTTATATTTTGGAACTAATACAAGGGGAATCACAGCCTCTGCAAAGTGGACTCGCCAAATATTGACCAGTTAATTAGCCTGGCTGACTAGAAAAAAACATGCTGGTGGGCATTTAATGAAAGGAAAGTAGTCTTACTGTGAAACGAGTCTTACAATGTATTTCTCAACTTTCTCCCCAGATAAGATGGGAGAAGAACATAACGTTAGGAGAACCTCCAGGATTCTTACATTCATGGTGGTGGTATGATTGGCATTGTTAAATGTTTCTCATGTGCTGATGTGTTGTTCATGGAAACTGCTTCATTCATCCCTGTGTGGTTTGCAGTGTATTCTGGGATTTATATTGTGCGGCACCTGAAAGGAGAGAAACCTGTGAGCATTCCAGTGAAGCCAAGGCATTCCACGACTACGTAAGTTACTCTCACAGTGCATGGATGGATGAATGGTGTGGCGTAGTAGTTAAAGCTCAGAGCTGGGACAGATGGGTGGATGGAATGCTAGAAAGTTTGAACGTTAGAAAGATAGATACATAGATAGATGATAAAATGCTAGAAAGATGGATGGAGTGATGGGTGAATGATAGATGGATGGATAGATGATAAAATGCTAGAAAGATGGATGGATGGATGGACGGAATGCTAGAAAGATAGAGAGATGGACGGATGATAGATGGGTAGATAGACACTAGAAAGATGAATGGATGGATAGATGGAATGCTAGAAAGATGAATGAATGATGGATGGATGGATGAGTTGATGGGTGGATAGATGGATAGAACATGAGAATGACAGAACACTAGAATGTTAGATTGCTGATGGATGGATAGAATGCTAAAAAGATAGAGAGATGGATGAATGATAGATGGGTAGGTATATAGATAGATATGCTAGAAAGACAGAACACTAGAAAGATGGATGGATGGATAGATGCATAGATGATGGAAAGCTAGAAAGATGGATGATGGATGGATAGATGCATAGATGATGGAACGCTTGAAAGATGGATGATGGATGGATAGATGGATAAAACGCTAGAAAGATAGAACACTAGAAGATGGATGGATGATAGATGGATAGATGCACAGATAGAACGAGATATGAATAGAACACTAGAAAGATAAATGATAGATAGATGGATGATAGATTGATGAAGAGATGGCAGTGCTCTAGACTGCTACCAAAATGGTCCCATATGCAACAATTTTTTGAGAATGTGCGAGTTAAAATTTGCGTGGTCGCATTTGTGCGAGTGCATGGTCTGCTCTGCTCCATACAGCGAGTGCTGCAGAGCCACAGCACAGTTCAGCAGGAGTCAGACTTCGCTGATCACGTGAAGAGATTGAGAAAGTGTGAGCGCTTTGGTGTATAGCCTGGATTATACTCGACGCGTCAGCATGAGCGCAAAGGTGCGCGTGGCAAAAATGATGCGAATACTGAGGAAACCATGGCGGACGGAGGATTTGGTTTTCAAGTGAAAGTCAAGTAAAAGACTGCTTCTTTTCTTCTAGAGAAGGTGAACATGTTGGTTTTCTTGAAGAAAAAAAACATGCAAGCACAGTTATCATCAGCCAGTTTAGTTTTACTTTTCTTTTTGTTTTCATTTTAAAACGAATTTGAAAGTGAAAGTGAAAGCATCCGATGCCCGGCTTATAACACAGTAAAAGAAAGTGAAAGCATCCGAAGCCCGGCTTATAACATCGTAAAAGAGGAACTCCCATTCACAAAATTCAAATCACAAATAATACTGATGAAAAAGAACGGGTTGAATGTTAACCATTTTTGTTAGCATATAACTATAAACTATGATAAAAGAAAAAACTATTCATCAGCATGCATTGATTAATCCCATGTTGTAGCAAAATAAATAAATAAATATAATAAAATAAATAGTGCAACCAAATCATGTGCTCGTGTGACCAACTGAGAAAGTAAGTCGCACCAGAGTGACCAGTGGGAAGAATGAATCTGGATGGATGGATGGATAAATGTATAGAAAGATGGATGAATAGAACACTAGAAAGATAGCACACAAGAAAAATGGTGGATGGATCTAGAAAGATAGATGAAGAGATGGATGGATAGATAGATAGAACGCTAGAAGGATAGAACACTAGAAAGATGGATAGATGGATAGAATGCTAGAAAGATAGATGAACTTTGACAAAGCGGATGTTTATCAGTTCATTTGATATTTTTAACAATGCAAATGGTATTTCCCATGTGGCCGCAGTACATCAGCATGGTGATGTTGTGGCTTCATTCTTTGCAGTTCAGTGCTCTGAGTAAGACCAAATGCTGCTAGGACTTACAGGAAGGAAGCATGATTCAATGTCCTGTGTACCTCGGGCTGCTGGTGACCTTAACTATCATAAAACAAGAGCGCAGAGGAGCTCAGGCTTTCCTCGTTTCACCTCGGAGGATGATGTAAATGTTCAATTATAGATCCGACTACGCTCACCCAAACGCTGCTGTCTGTCTGTCTGCTGTTGTGTGCACCTCAAAAGCGCAGTTTAGAAGATGAGTAAAGAGCGCAGCGATGCCGAAGATCACTGGTTTGGCCCCAGACTCATTTCTCTTTCCAGCACCAATTAGCTGAATTTCCTCTGAGAGTGTCTGGAGTGTAGGCACAACAGGAGTAATTACAGAGAGCTCTAGATTCTTAAACGAGAACATCTCCGTCCAATACATCGCCGGCTTTCTGTGACTAATTGCCAATGTACAGCAAATGCACTTTACAGCTGTGATGCACCATATCAAATGACTGTGGTTTTAAAAACTCAAAATTGATGAAGTTTGCTTTATAAATACGCATTTCTGTTTCTTATTGTCAATGTTTCATCATTGATACGCAGCACTCCAAAAGAAAAAATAGTTTTTTTGTTCAAGTGTAATGACTTTGTATGGTTACAAATCCATTGTCTGGCTCTATAGTACTCTGTTATGATACTTAATGGACTTTTTACAATCCACATACACTACCTTTCAAAAGTTTGGAAAAAAAAAAATATATATATATATATTTGAAAGAAGCCAAAATGCTTACCAAGGTGGCATTTATTTGATCATAATATATTAAAAAACAGTAATATTGTGAAATATTATTGTAATTTAAAATAACTTTTCTATTTGAATATATTTTTAATGTAATTTATTCCTGTGATTCAAATCTGAATTTTCAGCATCATTACTCCAGTCTTCAGTGTCACATGATCCTTCAGAAATCATTCTAATATGCTGATTTGATGCTCAAGAAACATTTATTTATTATTATTACCAATGTTTAAAATATTTAATAATTTTATGGACTGTTTTATTTTATGGAATTTTATGAACTGTTGTTCCTTTTTTAATGAATAGAAAGTTAAAAAGAACAGCATTTATTTGAAATAGAAATCTTTTGTAACATTATAAATGAGTCTTTACGGTCACTTTTTATCAATTTAAAGGTCATATGATGCGATTTCAAGTTTTCTTTTCTCTTTGGAGTGTTACAAGCTGTTCGTGAATAGATAAGATCCCTAAAGCTGCAAAGACTAAAGTCTCAAACCCAAAGAGATATTCTTTATAAAAGTTAAGACTCGTCCACACCCTCCTAAAACGCCTCGTTTAAACACGGCCTCACATGTCTACGTAACTGTGTGGGAAGATTTGCATAGCGCCGCACAAATGTTCACGCAAAGAAAGAAGGCGTAACTTTTATTCTTGCTGTAGTATTGTTGTTGCAGCCGCCATGTCGTGGAGACGGTGTGTGTTTCGTTGTGAAAGCGAAACTACTTTGTTTGGCTTTCCAAAAGAGGACACAACTAGAAATCAGTGGTTAAGTTGTATTTACAACACTGTTCCAGAACAGTTCAACCCAAATATTCAGATGTGAGCAACGCAATTTACGGAGGACGAGGACTGTTTCCTGGGAGAGTAGCCTACAATGCCGGTGTTCTGACAAATAATGCTGACTCACAGCCTGTAAGTACGCTTTCATATTTAAAGGATTTGCCACTGATGATTCAAACGCGAGTTTTGGGCAGTGTAGAGTAGTGCTTGTTTGTTTGTCATTTCTCCGATCACAAATGCAGACATGGTTTTATGTTTACGTGGCGTGATACGCAACGCAAAGCGTAAAAAGACAGTATAAGTCATTATAATAAGTAATTATGTCC